CTCTCATCTGTCAGTTGTTTTCCTATTTTATGGAACAGGTATGGGTGTGTACCTGAGTTCAGTTATCTCCCCTTCTCTCAGGAGTGGTGCAGTAGCTTCAGTGATGTACTCTGTGGTCACACCCATGCTGAACCCTTTCATCTACAGCCTGAGGAACAGGGATGTCAAGAAGGCCTTGCAGAGGTTCCTCAGCAGATGAGAATAACGTCAATAATTGTACAGTCTAATGTCTAAGCATTAGAATAAGCAAAACAATCATTGTTGTGGAACTAAAAAGCATGCCCCTTGGGTCCCATAATTTTTGTGGCTCTCATTGTTTTCATTGATGCTTCAATTAAAATATTTTTCATTTGCTCTATTTGTGGGGAGGAGGACTGGAGAAGTTCTTCAATCTGTGGTACACTATAATATATGCCCAGTTGAGTTCTAGGAGTCCTGGTGTGGCATTGTAAGCACTGGACAGCAAGGTTGGTTTAAATCACAAAATTGGCAGTTGAAACCCAGAGGTCACTCTTTAGAAACTCTATACATGGACGCTATAAAGCAAAACTGTTTAACCAACACTTAACAACAAAAACACTTTAGTTCTATGCCACCGATGGAGCTTTCTATATTTGTCATCTATGACTCAGGCATACTGATGAAATGCACAACTTTCTTGAAATAAAAAGTACAATCAACCCCCCTTCCAACAGTTCATGCCAATTATTGATACGCTGTTTCATCGTTCTTATCAATTTATGAAATTTAGGTATAACAAACTTGTTATTAGGCATTAAACTAGGCTTCTTACTGGAACCAATTAGTAAACATTAAAAATATTCATGCCTGCAGAACACAACCAGAGTTTCTGATTTATTTAGAGTGGTGAGTTGTTGTTGTTGTTGTTATGTACCGTGGAGTCAGTTCCAACTCATAGCAACCCTGTACAAGTTTCTGAGGCTATAAATCTTTACAGGAGCAGAAAGCCTCCTCTTTCTCCTGCAGAACAGCTGGTAGTTTCGAACTGCTGACCTTACAGGCCACAACCCGATTCGTAACCACTATGCTACCAGAGTAGGAATGTTTTATTTTAAATTACATTTGTAGGTCCTTTGTTGTTGTTAAGTGCTGTCAAGTCAGCTCCAACCCATAGCCACCCTTTATAGGGTTTCCTCAAAGTCGTAGCATCAATGGGCTTATGTGTGGCAATAGGAGTGAGGTTGGCCCAGGATTGGGCAATACTTTGATTTCTGGTGGCTAGAAGGCAGGCTTGCAGAATGTGTCCTTTGATTTAAATGATTATATATTCCTTAGTGTTGTTTATACAACCTCTCCAAAAAAAGCAAACAAATAACCCCAAAACCAGAGGGAATAGAAGAAAATACTGTTGAATGATGATACATGTAGGACATTTTAATCATTACAATAAAATGATAAGTATAAAAGTGATGTTCTTCCATGTAAACTTCACTTGATACACAATAAAAACTTAAAAACAAACAAAAAAGACTCCTTTCTGCTGGTTAGTGTTTTGGACTATAAGGGCAGTTTAAACTGTAGGGTTGGCAGTTCAAGTTTACCAGTCACTCTTCAGAAACCCTATAGAGGGTCACTATGAGTTGAAACCAACTTGAAGGCACTTAACCACAGCAAGAGGAATGAGGAACATGTTTCATCAATTACAGGGAGTGTGCTGTCTGCTCATTGTTCACACAGGGATATGCCTCAGCTACTGGGAATCACCTTTCACAAGGTAATATTCCCTTCCTGAGGCAGCCCCCATCAAATGGTTGATTGATGTTGGGGTGTAAATGCTTGACTACATTTCCCCAACTTTTGTTGCTGTTCTTGTTGTTGTTCAGTGCCATTGAATTAGTTCTGATCCGTGGTGTCCATGGATAAGTTTTCCAAGGGGTAACTGGTGATATTGAACCACCCCAACTGTAGCTCACTCTAAAAGATCATTCCAGTTACTTCCAGTTTGGGAGGCAGCAGAAGCAGAGTCAAATAGGACAGGCTTCATAGGGGAGGGGCAGAAACTCCAGAGAAGTTTCTTTCATGGAATAGCTCCAGAGTTCAAGATTAAGAATAAGGGACAAGACATCATTTTTCACATCCAACAGTGGAAAAATCACTGTATAAAAGAAAATATTGTTATTTAGGAATCAATGGAGACAAAGGACTCCCTCTGTGGTCACCCCACCAGGACTGAGTTCAGAGGGTGGGGACACAGCTGAACCTACACAGTAAACCAGCATGAAAATTGGTGCAGCGACTTTTGCAAAAAGATGTTTGGAGGCATTCTACACATTTTCCCTCCTCTTCCCTGTCTCACCTTCTCTGCCCAACCTGGACAGCGTCAGGTGCGTGGGCACACACCCCTAAAAGGGTCCAACATTTAGCCCACGGTTTTCCCATGACACAGAGAGAAAGAGCCCTTAAGTCCCATAGGCTGACTATTTGGTGGCTGCTTATGATATCTGACTCTGGGATCCAGTCCTAAAGTTAACTTATGTGAGATCATTTACTCCTGCCTACCCAGCAAGAACAAGAGCTAATGATACTCAGGGAGGAAGTCCAGAGTGCATTGAAAGAATTGGCAAAGAACAAGACACCAGGAATTGATGGAATAAAAATTGAAACATTTCAGGAAAGTGAGGCAGCACAGGAGGCACTCACTCATCTCTGCCAGGAAATTTGGAAGACAACTATCTGGTTGACTGATTGGAAGCGATCCATATTTGTGTCCATTCAAAAGAGAGGTGACACAACAGAGTGCAGAAATCATCGGACAATCTCTTTGATATCTCAAGTGAGTAATGTTTCGCTAAAGGTAATACAGAGATGGC